GAACCCACACTCTCTTGACCCTGACCTGCTTACCCAAGGTCCGTGCCCAGAGGTGTGTGAGTGGCCAGACCCCAGGGCCAGTAGGGAACCTGCTGAGAGTCCAACACAGAGATGTTTTTTAAAAGAAGAACATTAAGATTATAACTTAGCATCTAGTTTTAAAAAATAAAACTTGCCTGTGGACGTATATACAATTAAAATGATTAGAGTATGCCTTTGAGAGGGTTCTTGCCCAAAACCTGATGTAAGAGGTGACATGCCTGTAGGGGCAGGGCTGTGAGCTATGGTTTGTCCACCTCCATCCTGGTGTGAATATGAGGACAAGCATTTCCAAATGAGGGAAAGTCCTGGGTTCATGTGATCCCGTTGAATAGAGAGTGTTCTTGGTGAGTGGTGCCCTGAGGACCAACATCAGTTGCTCTGTCTGGTCTGAGACACATCCAGGAAGCTAGTTTCCTTCCTTCACCAGGGAAGATCCTGTCTAATGACAGTGGATGAAAAATAGGGTCATTATGACTTTGGCAAGCTTGCTTTATTTCTTCTTCATTTGATTTCTAACATAACATACTTCTCAAACATATCTAGTTCTTCTAAATTGTGAATTTATTTAAAAGGTTCTTCTGTCCAGGTAGACTTTTGTACATAGACCAAGTGAGGATTCTTTTGACTTAGTATAAAGCTCTAGAATTTTATGCTTTTAAAATCAATAGGTTTATCGCCTTAGTTTATAAATTATATAAACAGAAAAGGTAATTGCTGAGGACTGCTGTTTGTCTTTTAGATTACAAAGCTGAATTATGGTCTTTTGCTGGAGAAACTGAAATACCACCATCTCACTAGAAGAGGGTTCTCAAAATGCTATTATTGGCTTCTTATTAACTTCTAAATTTTTGCTTTTTTAAAAGAAATACACTGACTCCTGTATATTTTAGGACATTTGGTCCATGAAATTGATTTTGATCCCTTTAGGTACTGTTTTTATTGTTTTACCTATAAATTACCACTAATCTACCTGCCAGTGATGTGAAATTGGTTATCCTTTAGCTGGTAGAAAGTTATGTGTACTCTACACATCTTATTCCTGTACTGGAAAGGTGAGGGGCATACTTCCTTTGGGGATTTTCACAGCAAAGGCATCTCTCCAGCAACCTGACAGGCCTCATCTTGTTGGTTGGATTCCTTTGTAACTACATCATTCCATGTCAGATTCGCGTTTATAATTTTTTCTAGTCAACCTGTAGTTGTTGGCCTTTTTGCATATAACTTTCGGGCAATATTTTGAAGCATGCTAGCCATCCAGGCATATTGTGTTTTCAAGAAATGACTGAGGAGGGAGGTTGGGGCCCTGGCCAGAGTGAAGGGGTTTGTTCAGCATCTGTGCCGGTAGAAGCAGGTGGGCTGTGGGCAGTTTTGTCATTGTTTTCAAGTCCTCCACAGACAGTGCACAGCCGGTTGCCTACATCTGGCCAGACCATGCCTCTTCCCAGCCCATTCCCCCGGGATGGCCACTGCTGGGAACACAGTTGGGACAAAGTTGGTTGATAGGACATTTCAGAGACTTGTTTTATCTTTGATAAGGGCAGGCCTTGAACTGGGTGCAGCAGCCACCTGGTCTGACTCTTTGGCCACAGCCACCATTTGGTTCTTGGTGCCACCTTCGTGGGGCGGTTGGACTACACAGAAGCCTGCATAGGTTAGAAGATGAATGTGAAGCACAATTATGTTCTGTGAACTGGAGATTTTCTTTATGCTCTCAATGACTCTCACCTGGTTCTAACCCTAGAATTTAGGAGCAGCTAGAAAGGTTCTAGTCTATGTAACCTAGAGGGATCATTTTAGTAAAAATTATTATGAATTATAGTGACTTATTTTTAAATGATTTTAATTCCACTCTAATATTTCACTGTGATGTTAACTTGGAAGACCTGTTTGAGATTAGACTTTTGATTTTAAGCTCATCAAATCTTGCTGAGCACAGGGTTCTTATCATTTGTAAGCCCAAACACTGTGGAAGTTCTTCTAGTGATCAATTTCTTCCTTTACAAATACATAACTTAAACATGAAAATAATGTTGGTTTATGGAAATATTTATTGTTCAAGGTCTGTAATTGTATTTCAAAAATGATGTCGTATTCAAGTTGTGAAGGGATTTGTTTTGTCAAAAAATTAAAAACTCAATGTGTGTGACACCACTCTGGAGAGTAGGGGACTGCGTTGCAGTCACGGCAAGTGGCACCTGACTGCATTTCTCACAGGTCACCCTGAATGGCCACGCGACTTTTAGCAGTTGGTTGGAATGTGTTCACTAGGTCGCATTATGTTTGGTGATATCATCTGGAAAAGTCCCGGTAATAGATCAAGGAGACTGCATTCCCTGCCCCGAAGGGATGTATTTCTAAGGCAAATAGGAAGCTTGGCACTATCTCATACTGAGTAGAGAGTGGAGAAAGTATTTTCAGACTCAAGAAAACTTTCAAAAGTCAGGAGCTAAGCGGCTTGGAGCTCAGTGCCGCCAGTGTGGCTGTGGTGGACGCAGGAGGCGACGGGAAAGTTCTTGACAGTCTGTATCCACTCAGTCCCTGCACTTTTGTCTTTCCAAATGCATCCCGTTGGATATGGAATAGATCGTAGATGTCGTAGACTGAGATTTGGGACTGTGTTGGGACCATACAGGTGAATGTGCCACTTCCACAATGGCCTCTCCGAGTGAGTCACGTCACCTGGTGTGTGGAGGCGGAGCCTGCGGCTGGAGTAAGGCTCGCTGTGGGACGCCCGCGTGCTTTGCTCTTCTTGCGGGTATTTGCTGAGCGGAGAGCGTCGGATCCTTCCCGACTGTGGCTAGTTGTCTGTCCAGTCACTGGGAAGGGGTGTGGTGGGATAAAAGTCGGAATCTTCTGCAATCTGTGTCATGGACTGTAATATTGTAAGGTCTATATTCTGTATGTGGATCTCAGACCCCAATCAGGAAACAAGCCTCATGTGTGTCGTTAACATTTATATTTCCATTCAAAATATGTATTCAGTGTTTATTTCCTCAAACAGACTTTGTTAATTTAGGAAATATCTCCAAGTGGAAACGTGCTAACTTTTTCTGTAAATCTTAAATAAAAGGTGCTGTTCCTTCCTCTGATCCAGGACTGGTTTGTGTTTTCTGTCTTTCTCTCCATACATTTTTTTTTCTTTTTTTAGCTGTTAAATTTGTTCCAGCCACATTAAGGGAAGAGCATGGGTTGCTGGATAGCACACGGGCTCTCTCCCCTTAGCCCACGTGAAAGGCCCCTTTCTCTGGACCTTGGTTCCTCCATCAGTCAGATGGATCAGCCTCAGGTGGCCGTATGGGCGACTCTTTGAGCAGATCCCCAGCTAGACAGTGTAGCCACTGCTTCCCGATGCCCCAAGTTCCCCTGGTGCCCACTGTAGTCTCGCCTCAGAAGCACTCAGCCCCCACCTGTGGCCCATTTCTAATCAGCATGTTAAATTTGGGGTTTGAACTCAGAGCATGTCTGGTGGTTCTTTCTGGATGTTAACATGACTGAGCAGGATGCAAGCTGACAGTGAGGGTGGCTGCAGCCCTCCAGGTCCCTCCAGTCAGCTTCATGGTGACAAAGCCTTAAAATGGGGCACTGCTCTGATTTAGTGTTCATTCATGCTGCTATTTCCATCTTCCTGGAAAAGGTGAGGAAATTGATGTTAAAAGCCTACTTTTTCTTTAGACTTTATGCTATTAGAAGATGTTCTTGTGAGACAAGAAGAGTGGCCCACACCTGTCACTGCCCACAGTCGCCATTCAGAACCAGTGGAAGCCCTTGGAAAAAATCAGCTCACTTTAACACTAACTTTAAGTCAACAAACACTTTTGTGTTAATTTTTAGTTTTTAATTTTTTTCCCCTTCCACAGCTTCCTTTAATTTCAGTGAGCTAAATCTAGAGAAAGCTCACTGATAATGTCCCATTCCAAGTTTTAGCTTAATGTTCACTGATAAACAGCACATAATTACTTGTGATTACTGAGGTATATAGGAAATAGAATTTATACTTTTGCTTATTTCATCTCCAAAATTAAGTTTCAACACTTACCCAATTTTTTTAAACACTGAATTTGATAGTCAAGGATTTTTATTTCATTCATTTAAACCTTTATTGATATTGCTTGTCAAGTGAGGGCAAAGTGCTGTGTGTAGCAAGGGTGAATCTCTAGCCCAGTCTTAAATGATTACTGTTATATGAAGGAAAGATGGATGAAACACAACCTGCAAATCCTTCCACTACTACAGGATTCAACATCTTTCTCCCAGGCCTTTTACATAGACTCAAGTGTTAACAAAGTAGGCAGATTTTGCCTTGCCTTCTCCCACCCCACTTCTCTGGTGGGGAGGAATGAATGAACTATGAAATACCAGGGAAAAACGGAGTGGGAGGAAGAAGGAGAAGCAGATGGTCAGCCCACGGGTGGGAGTGGGAGACTGCTGACCTGTAGGTAAGCACTCCAGTGTAGGCACACACTCTGGAGGGGCTCATGGTCTCCACCACAGCAGCAGCAGGATAGCGTGGTCACCTGATGAGGCCTTACCTTTTGACACTTCATCCTGGTTCTTTAAAAAATTTGTTTGGCATTAACATGTTTCTCTTACTTTAAAGTAGTAGGACCTGAACAGATTGGGTGAGAAAGGTAAAGGTTCTTATTCCAAAGCCTGTTGTAGTTCACCTACTAGAACAAACAGGATTTTCATTAGTTACTTTATTTTTAAAGAAATGTGCCTCTTATATACATATGTATGCTAAATATTGAGTAGGATAAAGTCCATTTTTGAATTTTCTACACGGCTTATTTGACAAGTTGTATTGTCACAAAAACCAGTTGGTAATGTGAGTCACTGGCCGTGGAAGACAGGTGTTGAGAGACTCGTGGGCAGTGAGGCCTGGCGGGGCGAGTCTCTGAAGGGTGCAGCCACCCACTGTGTTCTGCGACTAGTGAACTGTCGTCCGCCTCCTTCTCCAGGTCTCAGACAGCCCAGGAGATGAGCCCTCGGAGTCCCCGTATGAAAGTGCAGATGAAACACAGACCGAAGTATCCATCTCATCTAAAAAGTCTGAACGAGGAGTGGCTGCCAAAAAGGAGTACGTGTGTCAGGTGAGGGGAAGACAGCCATTCGCTGTCTGACTAGGGTCCTGGAATGCAGAGTGAGTCTGTAGCCTCTTCTCTCTCCCCTCTAACTCCTTCCTCATCCCCACCATTATGCAGTGATTTCTGTTCTGAAGGGATTAGGCTTCCAGCAGAGTCCTGGAACTAAGTTGCCTTAGTTAACATCTTTTTTTCATGTGTAGGATGTGTATTTCATATGCATGTCATATAGCACATATGCACATACATAAAGATCATTTGTTGGAAGAGGTGAGATGTTAGGCTGATGTTTTGGCCCATTTGGTGCTGTTGACATGTATACCAGGTCAGCCAGACCATGCGCTGAGGTGACTGTTTCTAGATCCGTGCCCATGGGACCCTGGACAGTCATTTGACCTCTCTACGCTTCAACCTTGCCCCACCTGTATGACGGAGATAAAGTTGGAGCTTCCATGCAGGGCGACTGCCATGTGAGAAGCGCCAGCACTGTGCCTCGCCTACGGTCAGCACGGGACCTGTCGTCTGCATTGGGCTGACTGATTTCTGATGGAAATGTGCTGTGGGTTTTCTTGATTTTCATACCTGATTTAAAAGCCCCCAAATGTGTCCTTCAGGATTTTGATCCTGTTGCTTCCTTTACTGTTGCTGAAAGACTAACCCTTTTCTGTAATATGTTGTCTGGTTTTAATCTGATACTAGTGGGTTCTGCTTGGCCAGACGTTTCCCTGTACACATATGGTTATATTTCTTTGAGTAGCAGAACAGGATTTTCTGCCACTGGATACCAAATCAAACAAATTCCTTGTGGTAAGGAAGGGTGCAGAAGGCACTTGTGCTGGGTGTTGGCTCATAGTGCCCCTTTCTGTCCCCACAGCTGTGTGAGAAGACAGGCAGCCTCTTGCTGTGTGAAGGCCCCTGCTGTGGTGCTTTCCACCTCGCCTGCCTTGGGCTTTCCCGGAGACCAGAAGGGAGGTTCACCTGCAGTGAGTGTGCCTCAGGCAAGTTCTGTTGCTTCTAAGGCCTATTCCCAAGGGTAGGTAGTTGTGCAACTCAGCTGGCTACCTGCTCCTTTGCTCCCTTCACAAAGTCTTGTCCTGAGACACTAGTAGAGAACAAGCTCCCTCCCCAGTGCCTTCCCCATCCTCCATCCCTCATGGGAGCGTGCAGCCTGTACCTGGCAGGTGTGCCTACCTCTCCATGGCCCCCACAGTTTGCTCTCTGATTTCAACTGTGTGTGCTCCCCTTGGTGCCTTTCCATCAGATGGCAGGGCTCACTACTTTAATGAAAAAACAGCATTCAGCAGTTCAGTACACAGTGACTGGCAGAGTGGCAGAACGATAGGTCATGGTCTGGCCTGAGCCTTGTCCTGTCTGTGAGGTGGTAGTCACAGGGCGCTTCAGCTCAGATGGTGTGGCATTAGGAGTGCAGCTGACCTAGTTGGTCACAGAATGCTGAAATCCAGTGGAATGTGAATTCTTTAAGAAGACACAGTGTCAGTCTGAGCTTCAGTTTAAACAGAAAGCAGCTCCAAGCTCTCCCTGAGTGGAGCTTTCATCCTGAACAGCCTAGGGTCATGATGTGAAAATGGCTGTGTAGCCATAGCCCTTCCTGTCCGCTTGCCAAGCTGCTGTTGGAAAATGTCTTGGATTGGTAAGACACCTGGAAAGCCTCAGGCTAAGGCTGTCCCACAACAGCACCTCACTTCTGGGGATATCTGTGCCCACAATAACAGTTGGTTAGCTGCTCTCAAAAAAGAAAAACTTCTTGAGAGGAGCCCCTTCCTTCAAGCTTCCTGCTGGTGAGAGTGGGCCTCTCCACTTGACTGCCAGTAAGACTCTGTATTCCACCTGAGACTGGAGCTCAGGTTGCAGCTAGCTCACCCATGATGGCTGTAGGTTTTTTCTGAAGAATGCTTGGACTAGTCAGCAAGGTTGAAAATAGAGGCTAAGGCCAGGCTTGGTGGCTCATCCTGTAATCCCAGCACTTTGAGAGGCCAAGGCGAATGGATTGCCTCAGCCCACCGGTTCGAGACCAGCCCGGGTAACTTGGCAAGACATCGTCTCTACCATAAATAAAAAATTAGCCAGGTGTGGTGGCATCTGCCTGTAGTTCCAGCAACTTGGAAGGCTGAGGTGGAAGGATCACCAGAGCCCAGCATGTCTACACTGGGTGGCCGTGAGTGTGCCACGGCACTGCAGCTTGGGTGATGGAATGAGACTCCAACTCAAAAAAAAAAAAAAAATAGAGCCTGATGGTTCAGTACCACAGGCTGCTTCCAAGGAGGAGTTGCTTGATTTTAGTGGCTTAGAGCTACAATTTAATTCTTGTTCTTTGTACCTCTCTGTCCACCCTTTCTTTAACTGTTTGTTAGGGATTCACTCATGTTTCGTGTGCAAGGAGAGCAAGATGGATGTTAAGCGCTGTGTGGTAACTCAGTGTGGAAAGTTTTACCACGAAGCTTGTGTGAAGAAGTACCCTCTGACTGTATTTGAGAGCCGAGGCTTTCGCTGCCCCCTCCACAGCTGTGTGAGCTGCCATGCCTCAAACCCTTCAAACCCAAGGCCATCGAAAGGTACAGATGCGCCCACACAGCCTCAGTGTGGGTTCAGATGCAGTCCCATGGGTGTTTGGGAGGGTGGGTGCAGGGACTGTTGGGTTTTTCACTAAAGATAATTCATTCTGGCCTGACATGCCTATAATCTCAGCACTTTGGGAGACTGAAATGAGAGGATTACCTGAGCCCACGGGTTCGAAACTCGCCTGTGCAACTTGGTGAGATCTCATCTCTACAATAAAAACAAAAATTAGCTGGATGTGGTGGTGCATGCCTATAGTTCCAGCTACTTGGAAGGCTGAGGCAGAAGGATCACCTGAGCCTAGCAGGTCAAGGCTGTGGTGGCTATAGGTGTGCCTCTGCACTTCAGCCTGGGTGACAGAGTGAGACTCTGACTCAGAAAACAAAACAAACAAATAATTAATTCTAGTTATTTTGAGTGATCCTTGTTTTCTGTTACTGACTTGATGCGGGTTGGGTTAGAGTTTTCTTTGATAAAGGAACTGTCCCCATTCTCCTTCTTTCCATCCTCATCACCCTGCATATTCTTAATTTTAGGAGAGGTGCAACCTTTGAACCATTTTGATAGGTTCTGTATGCTCTGGTTTTAATGGCTCTTCATATATAAGGAAAACATTTTAAAATCACGTTACATTTAGATTATTTAACATTAGATGTGTGGGATGAGGGTGGCAGGTTGTCTGCACTTCTTGACGTGATTCTCCCTCACAGGGGCAGTTTGTGACCTGAGGATATGTGGCAACATCTGGGGATGCTTGCTCAATACTATACAGTGTCCAGGACGGCTGCCCACATACCCAGTGCCTGCGGTGTCCATGCTAAAATATGCTGGTTGGATTTATTTTAGAATATGACATTTTAGATGCTTGACCATTTTCTCAAACATTGTTTTGAAGCGTCTCTGCCCTGATGAAAGATATTTTCATCAAATACCTCAAGTTTATTGCAGCATTAACTCTTCAAACTTATAAAGGCTGGGTAGTTTTTAGTTGTCCTCTTCGCTGTGATTGGCATCTGTAGTGTTTGGAGTATTTAGGGGATTTCTTTGCCTCCAGGTAAAATGATGCGGTGCGTCCGCTGTCCCGTTGCCTACCATGGAGGAGATGCTTGTCTGGCAGCAGGATGCTCAGTGATCGCTTCCAACAGCATCATCTGCACAAGCCATTTCACTGCTCGGAAGGGAAAGCGGCACCATGCCCATGTCAATGTGAGCTGGTGCTTTGTGTGCTCCAAAGGTGAGGGGCCTGGTGGGGGCTTCTACCATGTGTGCTTCTCACACTCCCAGGACCGCATATTGAGGGCAGGCTTCAGTCCTTATCTGTGCTTTGTTTGTTGATGTTTATAATGTCTTCCTTGTTTTCACATGGAATACTCCACACATTTATGTTTGGTAGTGTGTTGTATTTTGAAATTAATTGTAATCCTTTCACAGACTTAGAGGAAATTATTTGTGGTAAAAATAACATTAGCTTTTATGTTAATGTGCAGATTGTTTTTAAATGAATGTTTTAAGAGTTAGATTTGAGCTGGATGTGGTGGCTCATGTCTGCAATCCCAGCACTTTGGGAGGTGGAGGTGAAAGGATTGCCTGAGCTCAGGGGTTCGAGACCAGCCTGGGTAACTTGGTGAGACCTTGTCTCTACATTAAATCAAATAATTAGCTGAGCATGGTGGCGCGTGCCTATAATTCCAGCTACTTAGAGGGCTAAGGGAAGAGGATCACCTGAGCCCAGTAGGTTGAGGCTGCGGTGGCCATGAGCATGCCACTGCACTCCAGCCTGGGCGACAGAGGGAGACTCTAACTCAAAAAAAAAAAAAAAGCCGGGCTCGGTGGCTCAGCCTGTAATCCCACGCCTTTGGGAGGCTGAGGTGAGTGAATTGCCTGAGCCCGCGGGTTCGAGACCTGCCTGGGCAGCGAGACCTCATCTCTACAATAAATAAAAAAATCAGCCGGGCGTGGTGGCGCATGCCTGTAATTCTGGCTACTCAGAAGACTGAGGTGGAAGGATCGCCGGAGCCCAGCAGGCTGAGGCTGTGGTGGCCAGGAGCGGCTACTGCACTCCAGTCTGGGCGACAGAGTGAGACTCCAACTCAGGGAAAAAAAAAAAAGAAGAAAAAAAGGAGATCTGTAATAGCTGTAGATGGTGAAGTGCTGCTGAATCTGGGCTGGCGTGTGTTAGCCAGACTGAGGCCACCTCACCTTCCTTTTGCAGGGGGCAGCCTTCTGTGCTGCGAGTCCTGCCCAGCAGCCTTCCATCCTGATTGCTTGAACATTGAGATGCCCGATGGCAGCTGGTTCTGCAACGACTGCAGGGCCGGGAAGAAGCTGCACTTCCAAGATATCATTTGGGTCAAACTCGGGAACTACAGGTGTGAGAAATAGATTTGTACACTTTTATGTCTTTCCTTGTTCACATGTGTTCACATTACAAGTGCTTAAAGTATTGAAATTATTACCGCTCTCTCTGAAGAGTCTGTGAATCCTGTTTTTAATATTTATAATAGATGGTGGCCAGCAGAAGTTTGCCATCCCAAAAATGTTCCCCCAAATATTCAGAAAATGAAGCACGAGATTGGAGAATTCCCTGTGTTTTTCTTTGGGTCTAAAGATTATTACTGGACACATCAGGCACGAGTGTTCCCGTACATGGAGGGGGACCGGGGCAGCCGCTACCAGGGGGTCAGAGGGATCGGAAGAGTCTTCAAAAACGGTATGGAGCTTTCCAGATAGAGAGTGAAACTGTACTCTCGTGTATTTTTTTAATCTTAAATTCTGCTTTTTGAAATTTGCTCTTTGTAGAAAATAATGAACTAAGCATTCTATCTCTACTTTTAAATTAGAAAAAAAGTAAGTTTGCAGACTTATTTGTTGAGGCATGGAATAAAATATGTTACTTAAAAACTTTTGTAATACTAGTTTGTGATTAATTTCATTAAAAAGCAGTAAAGCTGTTCTTAAGAAATTATCTTCAGTACTGATTCACAGAAATTTCCCTTAGCTTGCCTTTATGTAAAATGCAGATCTGGAGGAAAGTGTCCTGTTGTCTGGGCCTTGTGCAACTGGCTCTCAGGGATCACCTCACCTTTCAACAAACACAGCTGGGCATCAGGTGCTCACCAGCTGTCAGGATGAGCAGGCAGACAGGGCACTCTGCCTCTGATTCCACAGCAAGGGTGGGAGACAGAGAGGAATGGCAGTGTGACACGACCAGCCAATGGCCTGGCTGTGAAGATGGGATGGGGATGTTGCTGTCCACTGGAGGAGCTGGTGCTGGCACTAGTTGAAAGTGAGTGAGGTCAGCAGGAGAGACGTGAAGTGTGTGCACGTGACTTGTTCAGGGTGAACTCGTGCTGTGTCACGGCTGTGTGTGTCAGGTAGGGATCTGAGCGCTGCAAGCTCTGTCTGCTCCATGCTTCCCGAGGCTTCACAGGCTGCACTGAGCAGAAGGGGCACACAGTGGGCACTTGGAGTTCTGGATGAGAATGGGTGGGTATCAAAAGATTTTCAGAAAAAGAGACACTGACACTGAGAAGAAGCCTAATGTGTTTGATGTAACCATCAGTTGGCAAGTGATGAGATCTCCTGACACATCCCATAGAGCCAGAGCCCCTTTTTTCTGAGAGAAGCAAAGTTATATTTGTATTTTCTATCTTAGGACAGTGAGTCCCAAGTATTGATCCTGGGCTTTGGCCTTAGACCACAATGATAGACAGGAGTGTATGACAGAAACCTACCCCAGGGCCTTCTTTGCATCAAACTGACACAGAGCAGCATCCAGGGTCCTTTAGTCACCTGGATGTTCTTGGAGCACTCTTCTGTTTAAGTCATTTTGCAGCATTTAAAAACACCTGACCTTTTACAGTTTTTCTTAACGTCTGGTTTTATGGAAAATAGAACCTACACTTACCAGTGAAAGTTGAGGATAAACCATTACAATATCGAGCTTAAAAGGTAGATGTATTTATTTACTAAAATCTTTACTCATATTTCATTGACTTTTTAGCGCTTCAAGAAGCTGAAGCTCGTTTTCGTGAAATTAAGCTTCAAAGGGAAGCCCGAGAAACACAGGAGAGTGAGCGCAAGCCCCCACCGTACAAGCACATCAAGGTGACATGTCAAAGCTGTATGTGTGTGTATGTAGAGGGTGTGCTCCCCTAGAGACTGAGCAGTTATCAGGTGTGTCAAGCTGTGGCTGGGGAGAGGGCTGTCACTGGCCAGTGTCTGCAGTGCTCGGTGAGGACAGCTGCGTGGAGAGTTGTAGGCAAATAGCAGATGCTGTTGCCACCCAGCAGGTGCCCTTTTTACTCAAGGATGACTGCAGCACTGGGAGTCTCTAGAGGTTCTTGGTGTTGCCTTGGCATATGAGGCATGGTCTGGTGGACATAGAAGGGTTAGAATGTCAGTCCTGACTCAGCTACCTAGAGTAGGAGAAGCTAAGGTATCAACTGGCTACATAGACCACACTGTCACCAGGTGCTGGAGAGATATGCTGAGACACAAGTTGGTTGGTCAGGGCTGGTGCTCAGCCACATATGATTCTGTCACTGGAGCCCCTGAGATAAAGTGATCTTTTCACGTTAGGGTGTGAAGACCAAAGCAGGACTGCAGAGTGATTCTGATTCCCCCTGGGTTTACTCTGGTGAGCTGGGGAACCCCAGCAGGAAGGCTGTGTCCACATGCCTCCACAGTGCAGGACAAAGTACAGCCAGGACACAGCTCTGAGAACTCCATGCCCCCACTCAGGTGGCCTGTGCTCAGTGAGCCAGTGCTGCCAAATCCCCCCACCCAGAGCCTCATGGCCTCTGGACTTGTAACCAGGGCTGCTCTGTCTTTGCTCCTGAGATTTGGGCTGCAGTCAGTATCTTTGTGTGTAAAGATAACATTCTCTATTCATCTGTATATAATATTTTCTTAGGGATAGATTCCCAGAAACAAAATTACAAGATCAGAGAGCATGAAACTTTTAGATTCCTAGGGACTATTTCCAGATTATTCTCCAAAGTGTTGTACAGTTTGTCACACCACAACAGTGAAAAGAGTGTCTTACCACATCCTTCCTAAAATTAGCCTTTTCTGCTTTAGTTTCTTTTCAGTTTTCTCTGCTTTTATTTGATTGCCTGTCTTCCATTAATAATCAACCACAGAGACACAAGGGCAGAGACTGTTCTCCTGTCCAACACTCTCCCCAGGGTGCCCTCTCACATCGCTGCAGGTGCTTGCTAAAGGGAGGGTCAAACAGATGGGTAGGGAAGCTGCTGAAGAGAGCTCTTATCATGCATTCACTGGACACCCTATATTGCACTAAGCAGCTGGTATGCTTTTTCTCTCTTAAACTTTCAACAGCCTGGCTAGATAAGTGTCAACTCTTCTTCTTTTCTTTTCTGTTTTTTTGAGTTGGAGTCTCACTCTGTTGCCCAGGCTGGAGTGCAGTGGCACACTTGTAGCCACCACAGCCTTGGCCTGCTGGGCTCAGGTGATCCTTCTGCCTCAGCCTTCCAAGTAGCTGGAACTACAGGTGCATACCACCACACCCGGGTAATTTTTTAATTTATTGTAGAGATGAAGTCTTGCCAAGTTGCCCAGGCTAGTCTCGAACCCGTGGGCTCAGGCAATCCTCTCACCTCACCCTCCCAAAGTATAGGGATTATAGGTATGAGCCACCACACCCGGCCCAGCTCTTTTTCATAAATGAGAAACAGAAACAGTAAAATAAAATAATGAGAGGAGTGTGGGTGTGGTGGCACCTGTAGTCCCAGCTACTAGGGAGCTGAAGCAAGAGGATTACTTGAGCCCAGGAGTTCGAGACTGCAGTGAGCTACGATCATACCACTGCACTCTAACCTGGGTGATAGAGTGAGACTCTGTCTCTAAAATAAGAGATAAAAAGACAATTGAGACAGGGGCTCCCAGGTCAGGGATTGACCTGTTTTCTTCCTGTGTCAGGAGTGTAGAGAAGTGCTCCTGCTGGATCTGGGTGGGGGCTGTTCTGAGGAGCATGTCCATCTTGGTCTCTGAAGCTGGAAGACCACCAGAAGTCTGGATGAGGAAGGCAGTAGTGGATGTGCAGGGGAATCGGAAGGCTCTTTGATATCTATGGGCCAAGACAGCTTGCTTCTTCCTTGCAGGTGAATAAGCCTTATGGGAAAGTCCAGATTTATACGGCTGACATCTCTGAAATCCCGAAGTGCAACTGTAAGCCCACAGACGAGAACCCCTGCGGCTTTGACTCGGAGTGTCTGAACAGGATGCTGATGTTCGAGTGCCACCCACAAGTGTGTCCTGCGGGCGAGTACTGTCAGAACCAGTGCTTTACCAAGCGCCAGTACCCAGAGACCAAGATTATCAAGACGGACGGAAAAGGATGGGGCCTGGTTGCCAAGAGGGACATCAGAAAGGTACGTGTCATATCTCTCTTCCCTGCTTCTTAGAAAGCATGGTTCACTGGCTACTTAGACTTAGGTTTGCTTATTATGTTTTTGCATTCATGTGAGAATGGTATCTTTTGTGAACATGACATGTAAAAAATTTTTTAAAAGACTAAATTATTACAATTAAATATTTTTAAATGTTATGGAAAGATATCTATCAATTCACAAGATATCTATCAAAGCTCATAAATTCCCATAAAACATACCTTATATCAGAATTTTGGTGTTAGTTTATCTGAAATGAAAGATTTGTGAAGTGACCCACTTTCTCTTATTTATTTTTGTTTTTATTTTTTTTTGAGTCAGGGTCTCACCCTGTCCCCCAGGCTTGAGGGCAGTGACACAATCACGGCTCACCGTAGCCTTGACCTCTTGGGATCAGGTGATCCTTCCACCTCAGCCTCCCAAGTATCTGGGACTTCAGTTGCGTGCCACCATTCCCAGCTATTTATTTATTTATCTATTTATAGAGATGAGGTCTCACTATGTTGCCTGGGCTGGTCTTGAACTCCTGCTCAAGCATTCCCCTGCCTCGGCTTCCCAAAGTGCTGGGATTGCAGGCATGAACCGCTGCACTGGCCCATTGTTGTCATATTTATTTATTAAGAGTTGGAGTTTCACTCTGTTTCCCAGGCTGGAGTGCAGTGGCATGCTCCTGGCCACCACAGTCTCAACCTACTGGGCTCTGGTGAGCCTTCCATCTTAGCCTTTCAAGTAGCTGGAACCACAGACGCTGCCATGCCTGGCTAATTTTTTGATTTATTGTAGAGATGAGGTCTCCCTAAGTTGCCCAGGTGGGTCTCGAACCCATGAGCTCAAGCAATCCTCTCACCTCGGCCTCCCAAAATACTAGGAATTATAGGCGTGAACCACCATGCCCAGCCAACCCACTTTCTTTTAGACAAGCTGCCAGATGCTCAGGAGCGCTTACCAGGCAGATGTGAGGAGGGTGGACATTTGTAGACACCAGAGACCGCTGACACCCTGCCTGCATTCTTAGACTGAATCACCAAGGGCATCCAGTGCATAAAGAGACACCTGGAATTGCTTATCTGGATGCAGCCTAGCCCTGATGTGATTTGACATGGCCTAGGCATGGGTGGTCTCAGACCCCAGGTCCACACTGGGACCACTGCAGCACAGAAAGCCTGTAAGCCGTGATGCCAGTCCCAGCATCAGCGAAAAAGATTGCTTAGAAACACCCCCAGGATCCTTGTTTCTCTGCCTGCTGCACTTGCTGATTCCTCCAAGATCTCTTGCTGTGTAGCTGGTCACATTCTCTGTAACCATTTTCTTTGTTGGGAAACCCACATTGAAGGTGAGTTAAGTGAAAGCTTTTGGTTATCAGACAATGCTCCTGAGAGATAGGTATGGCAGGAAGCAAGGGTTGGAGGCTGCTACTTCAAGAATACATAAATAAGGTCAGGCTCAGTGGCTCAAATCTGTAATCTCAGCACTTTGGGAGGCCAAGGCTGGCCAACTTAAACTACTTGAACCCAGTAGTTTGAGACCAACCTAGGAAATATAGCAAGACCTCATCTCTACAAAAAAATTTTTAAAAATTAGCCAAATGTGGTGGTGTATGCCAGTAGTCCCAGCTGCTCAGGAGGCTGAGAGGGAAGGATCATCTGAGCCCAGGTAGTCAAGGCTGCAGTGAGTCATGATCATGCCACTGCACTCCAGCCTGGGTGACGGAGTAAGACCCCGACTCAAAACAAAAATAAATGTGTAAGTAAATCTTTCATTGACAGCCTTCATTTATGGAATGTGGATAAGATCTTTAGAATTTACTTTAGTTAATTTTTTTGAGTTGGATTACTACTCTGTCTCCCAGGCTAGAGGGCAATGGCATGATCACAGCTTACCATATCCTTGACCTCCTGGGCTCAGGTGATCCTTCCACCTCAGCCTTCTGAGTGACTGGGACTACAGGAGTGCACCACTATACTCTATTAATTTTTTTTTTTTGACTTTTTTGTAGAGACAAGGTCTTGCTATGTTGCCCAGGCTGGTCTCAGAAGTCCTAGGCTCAAGCAGTCCCCCCGCCTCAGCCTCCCAAAGTGCTGGAATTACAGGTGTGAGCTATAGCGCTCAGCTACTTTAATTTATAAAGACTTTGTAAGACCTCATCCCTGAGATATTATGAAGCATGTGGTGCTCTGTTCTAATTGAATGTGATGGGGTGTCTTGAGCCCTGACGTGAAGAATCGGTCGCATGGTTGTATGCTCCTTGTAATCACCACATTCTTCTGATTTCCAGGGAGAGTTTGTTAATGAGTATGTTGGGGAGCTGATTGATGAAGAGGAGTGCATGGCAAGAATCAAGTATGCGCACGAGAACGATATCACCCACTTTTACATGCTCACAATAGACAAGGTAATGCAGAATGGAGTGTCACAGTGAATTTCCGTAGTGTACTGATGGCTTGCTCACCTGTTGAACTGGACTTTGCATTGTGAGGACATTACTGTTTCATCTCCTTAGTTGCTTATTTTCAAACACCTGCACATTTTCTTCTCAAGTGCAAGGTGTCCTTCCACAGTTGCCTGATGCCCAGAGCTGATTGCCTCTCAGCAGTGAGAGCATCCTGGAAGCTCTGAGTGCCAGTAATGCATGAAGAGTGTACCAAGCAGTCTTATTAAGGGCAGGGAAAAGAAGAGAAAAACACAGATTAGGAAGGTTTCATATCTCCTTTGTTACATAATGGAGTCATTTTTGGTTGGTGGTTGTTTGTCTGAAACCCACATTTCTAAGCATTTTGGAACCTGGGTGTTAGGGATCTGTGTTCTCAGAAAAAGGAGAATGAGATGATTTGTTTACAAATGGGCATGGGTAAAAGAAAACACATCTGGAGTGCTCAGGTCTGGGATTGACATCCAACAGTGACCAGTGTTGCTGACCCTTCCAGGGAAGCTCCTTCAGTGGCCACAGTCCCAGGAGGGTGGGTGTCATCCTTTCCCACACATGGTGGGTTTTCTGCTCCTGGATGACTTCACCTGTAAAGTTGTGGTCTCTTTGGTACCTGAGTGCTGTTTGAGAGGAAGGCAGAATACATATGTCTGCCTTTTGTTGCCTTTAAACTCATAATCTAGCAGAAAAGTGTGGTTATTTTTTAAAGAATAGATTAATAATAGTGCTTGAAAACTAGATACAAAATGATCATAGAAAAATTTTGAATGATTCATGGGAGAAAAAAGACATGAGACCTAGAGAAATGGCTGCTGTGGAAATAAGATGGTTCAGGTGGTCCCTGGGGAAACTGTAGCCTCCCTGTTTCCTGCCATGGGGCAGCTATGCCAGTGGAGCCCACTGCAAATGAACACTGAGCTCTCATGGGACCTAGACCCTTCAATGAGGTATATCATGAAGGACAAAAAGTTCTGAGTTAAAGAAGACTAAAATACCCAGAAGAGGTGTGTGTCTCTTGATCAGATCCTGAATCTGAGGTGGGAAACTATAAAGTACATTTTTTAGGACAGTGGGAGAAATCCTAATTTGGACAAGAAGCTATTCTTGATGTTAAATTTCTCAAGTGTGGAAGATACTATGGCTGTGCTGAAGAATGCCTTGGGTTGTGTTTAGGGCTTGTGTCAGTTGTTGGTAACTTTCTTTCTTTTTTTTTTTTGAGTCGGAGTCTCACTCAGTTGCCCAGACGCCCAGACTGGAGTGCAGTGGCCACTCCGGGCCACCGCAGCCTCGACCTGCTGGGCTCCGGCGATCCTTCCGCCTCAGCCTTCCGAGTAGCCGGAATTACAGGCATGCGCTACCATGTCCAGCTGATTTTTTGATTTATTGTAGAGATGAGGTCTTGCTGCCCAGGCGGGTCTCGAACCCGCGGGCTCAGGCAATCCACTCACCTCAGCCTCCCAAAGGCACAGGATTACAGACTGAGCCACCGAACTGGTTTACTTTCAAAGGATCAGAGAAAGAGGGAGTCTGAGTTTACTTTGTAAACAGAAAAGCTTTGTGATGCTGGAGCAGAATGGCAGGGGGGGAGCCAGAGGAAAGAGTGGGTTTGTGTGGCTTCCCTAGGGGCTGTGGGGTTTAAAACAGGTAGAGTGTGTTTAACTCATGTGGGGACCAGTAACAAGCCTGCTCAGAGGCCCATGGGCCAACTGAAGCTGAGTACCTGTGTGGCCCTGTCAGAGGGCTGCGGCCCTTGGAATGGGGCTAGGAGGCAGAAAACGTGCTTCTCTTTTGTTTGGAGTATGGGGGCAGGGAAGTTATTTTGTTAGAAATTGAAGTGTTAGGCCTGTGCCTTACTATGTTTATGCCAAGTTGAGCACAGATTGGTCCCTGGCATGGTAATTCACCTGAGGTGCCTGGTTGAACCAAAGACAGACATCTTAAATGTGGGACATTTAAGCAATTCATACCTCATGTATTTTCTATAAAAAGAAACAAAGTATTTAAGTAGGAGCCCTACTTAAATGTTTACAAAGTACAATAGGACATAATCCCATGAGCAGAACTTTCAAATGGAAGCCCTCACTTAGTACCTGAGGTCACAAGACTAAGTCTAAAGGACAACACAAAGTATATTAGAAATGGTCAAAACCAGCCGGGCTCGGTGCTCAGCCTGTAACCCCGCACCTCGGGAGGCTGAGGTGAGTGGGTTGCCTGAGCTCGCGAGTTCGAGACCCGCCTGGGCAATTTGATGAGACCTCATCCCTACAATAAATTAAAAAAAAAAAATTAGCTGGGCGTTGTGGCACGCGCCTGTAGTTCCGGTTACTTGGAAGGCTGAGGCGGAAGGATCACCGGAGCCCAGCAGGTCGAGCCTGCGGTGGCCGGGAGCGGCCTCTGCACTCCAGTCTGGGTGACAGAGTGAGACTTCAACTCAAAAAACAAACAAACAAAAAAACTAGGGGGTTAAAATAGAGTCATTGAGAAGATTCTGGGAAAATAGTGAGCAGGAAGCATCAGGAATCTGTCTCCCCATCCAGACAACAATTGCACTGGCAGAATTTGGTATAACTATTTTGGAACTGAACCTTTGAAGTCTGTCGAAGGCTTACAATTTCCAGGGAAAGGCTTGCATGGAAAACTGGGGTTAATTTTGGTCAGTTTCAGCTCTTAACACAGCAGCAGCTACCCATGTCCCACTGCCAGCAGATACAGCAGCTGCCTGGAAGAGAGTGTGCATGTGTTTCTGGATGAGCCTGCATGCAATTTATGGAGGCCAGGGTGGGCAAAAGGACTCTGTCCTCCAAATAGCCACCATCTGTACCTTGGGCCCTAGACTACTGCTTCTGATCACAGAGGTGCAGGCAAACAGGTGGTAGCCATTGTGTTGTACTTCCCTCCATTATTGTTAGCCCCTCCCCTCAATCTGAAGTGACTTCAAGGGAATTGAAAGGGCCAACATAATTCCTATTCCCCACCCTCCCATTTCCTACCCCTTCATTTTTCTCTTTTTACTCTTTTGGGAGCCAGACATTAAAAGAATAGGACATTTGAAAGCAAACTGCATATGTGGGAAAATTAGAAAGTGACTGGCATGCCCAGAGAAAGATGCAGGCTCACAAAAAACCTGAAAAGACATGTTTTATGCCTCATGCTGTGTCTCCTCAGCACAGAGACAGCCTACAACAACCAAAAGAAAGCAAGAACAATAAATAAAAATAGCAAACTCAACTCAGGATAAGGGGGAAAACAAAATTTCCAGAGTTACCATATTATTAGATTCAAATGTCCAGTGTTCAGCAAAAAATCACAAGGGCTACAAAGAGACAGGAAAATGTGGCCCATTCAAAGGGGGAAAATAAACAAACTGTCCCTAAAAAGACCTGATGACAGATCTACTAGATTTACTAAACAAAGACATTAACACAACTGTCTTAAGGATGCCCAGAGAACTAAAAGAAGACATGGTGTAGCCAGGCTCGGTGGCTCAGCCTGTGATCCCTCACCTTGGGAGGCTGAGGTGAGTGAATTGCCTGAACCCGCGGGTTCGAGACCTGCCTGGGCAACTTGGTGAGACCTCATCTCTACAATAAATCAAAAAATTAGCCGGGTGTGGTAGCGTGCGCCTGTAGTTCCAGCTACTTGGAAGGCTGAGGTGGAAGGATCGCCAGAGCCCAGCAGGTCGAGGCTGCAGTGGCCAGGAGCGTGCCACTGCACTCCAGTCTGGGTGACAAAGTGAGACTCCAACTCAAAAAAAAAAAAAAAAAAGTCATGATGAAAGTCAACACAATTATGTATGAACAAAGTGTCAATATCAATAAAGAGATAGAAAACCTAAAAAGAAGCTAAAAAGAAATTCCAGACTGCCGCAGTGGCTCACACCTGTAATCCCAGCACTTTGGGAGGCTGAGGCAGATAGATTCCTTGAGCTCAGGAGTTCAAGACCAGCCTGGGCAACATAGTGAAACCTCATCTCTACAAAAAAAAAAAAAAAAAAAATTAGCTGACTGTACATGTGGTGGGTGCAGGTGATCCCAGCTACTTGGAATGCAGAGGTGGAAAGATCACTTGAACCAAGGAGGTTGAGGCTGCTGTGAGCTGTGATCATCATGATCATGCCACTGCACTCCAGCCTGGGTGACAGAGTGTGAGTCCAACTCAAAAATACATACATACACACGGAAATAAATAAATAGAAATTCCGGCTTGGGTGACAGAGTAAGACTCCAACTCAGAAATATATACATACGTACATATAAATTCCAGAGCTGAAAAGTATAATAGCTGAAATGAAAATTTTACTGGAGAGATTCAGAGGAAGATGTGAGCAGGCAGAAGAAAGAATTCATAAACTTGAAAATAGGATAATGAGAATTGTCAAGTCTAAGAAACAAACAGAAAAAAGTTTAAGAAAAAGTGAACAGAGCCTAAGGGACGTGTGGGATGCCATCAACTGGACCAACATAAGTAATTGTGTGATTCCCAGAAGGAGAAGAGGAAAGAGAATATTTAAAGAAATAATGGCTAAAAACTCCCCCAAATTTGTTGAAATGCATGAATATAAACATCTGAGAAGTTCAGTGAACTTCAGGTAAGATGAAATCAGAGACCCACACTGAGACACATTATGATCAGTCTTTTGAAAATCAGAGAGAATTTTTAAAGCAGCAAGAGATAAGCCTGTTACATACAAAGGATTCTCAATGAGACTATCAGCAGATTTCTCATCAGAAACTTTAGAGCCCTGAAGGCAGTGGGGGGAACATAGTCAAAGTGCTAAAACAAAAAAACTCAACCAAGAATCCTGTACTGGGCTGGGTATAGTGACTCATGCCTGTAATTCTAGCAGTTTTGGAGGACTGGGGGAGGATAGCTTGAGACCAAGAGTTCAAGACCAGCCTGAGCAAGATAACAAGATCCCATCTCTTAAAAAATTTAAAAGAAAAAATTAGATTAAAAGTCAGTTGCAG